ATTAAAATTGTTAATTTTGATTTTATTAAATTTAAATAATAATTAGAAGAAGATTTAATTTAATAGAGAAATTCAATTTTAAATACATAATATTTTAAAATATTCAAACAATGTATTTAAAAATACATGTATTTGAAATTCATTTTTTTTAATTCAATCCAAACAATGTATTTCAAAATACATGTATTTTAAATACATATATTTTAATTACACTCATCAAATTCAAATTTAAGTTCCCAAACACAACCTTAAGGATTTGAGCTGGAAGTATAATTAAAGTTTCTTTTATTTTTTCCACAAGCGACAAGCCTAATGCTTATAAGAAATAATTCGCACTTGTAGCTATGGATATGACAGTATTAGCTTTAATTAGTTTGTCGGTTCCTATTTTATCAGATTTAGTTATATAGTTGAGTTTTTTTGGCTAAAGAGATAAAACATTTTGTCGTAAGATTATTTGTTGTGGATCGAATGAGTATTTAACCAATACTATTCTCAGCCACAGAACTTGTAACTGTTGGAGCTATGGTGTCAAAGCTGCACAAGAGGGAGCAAATGGAAAGAAAGCTGCACATGTGGTAACAAAATGAAATGAAGTGAGAGCTGCACCAAAAAACAGTAGCAACAAAGTGCAGTAAGCTATGCTGCAAATGTTGATGAAATGAGGTTGTAATAAAATGCAAATGAGGCTACAAAGTAGCAGTAAGTACAGCCACATGAAGCTGCACAAGTGGCAGCAAATGAAAGGAAATGAAGCTGCACAAGTGGTAGCAAGGTTTTTAATGTAATTTTACATTAAATGTATTAGATAAGTATTAGGTAAAAAAATTACCTTTATGTACTATGAAGTTTCTGCTATATAATGGTAGAAAATGAATGAAAAAAAATGAGTTTCACCTCACCTTAAGAGTGAACTCCACCGGTGCTTCTCCTTTCTCCTCCAAGTCCCTTCCTTTCTTTTCACCGAAAATCTCCAACAGTAACTCTACAGATTCGTACACATGCCCTTCTTGCTCTTTTTGCACCCAACCGAATCTATAGTAAAGTTCTTGCAATACTAGGACGGACTCTTCTTGCACTCCACAGGCCAAATGCTAATTTTTGATCCTGTGATAGGTTTTTTTGTAGAACTGCGTTGTTTTGAAGAATCCGGTGATTGCTTCTTCAATCTCGAAGAAATCTTAGAATTTGGGTTCTCACTCCCAACCTTTGTAGCTGTTTGGGCAGCTTCGTAATCCAACATTGTTGAAGTCCTCAACTGCTTCTACACCTGTAAATCCCAAGGATGTTTCCTCGGGAAAAACACTTCAACGCTCAAGTCAGCAATACTTGATATTCTAGAGAGAGATGCTCTTAAGGAGTAATTGCGGAGAGAGAAGCGTAGAGATTTATTTTACCTTTATCGGGGGTAGTTGGGGGGTATTTATAGCCCCTTGGTGCTGACATGTATCTATACGTGTAAGCATCCCATTGGCCCACATGGTGCTGGTCACGTGGGTATGTTTGTACTGGTGCTCCCCCAACTTGGGTTAGTGGGCGGCAGCCTAGGCCCGTTATGCACAGCCCTGTTTGGATGTTGGGCCTATGTTGGGCCTATTCCAACATTACTCCCCCCTTGGTGTTTGGTTGACGAACTGGGATGGATGTGTCCGCGGGTCAACGCCCTAGCTGGTGACTATGATGGACAGCCTTAACAGCTCACGGCCGACCTTGATGATGGCCGAGCTGAAGGGTGGCATGAAGAGAGGTGAGCTTGCGAGCCTGAAAATGTGCAGGCGAGCTGATATCCATAACCACACTAGTGTGGGCTTGTTATATCAACGAGCTGAAATGGCTCACAAAAGTTGAGCTCGCCTAGTGAATAGTCATGTACATAAGGTGCTATTCGCTATTTCAGCGAGCTCGTCCACGTTAATGTAAGCGCAAGAGAACGTGTGATGACGTGACCCATGACTATTACCAAAGGTGCTGAAGCGACTGGGTGATGCTGTCAGTGAATCATAATGACGAGCTGAGATGATGCGACCTCACCCACAGAACGATATGAGATTTTTGATTATTATACTTTATCAGCTCGCATGTGCAGTGGGGTTAAATAGAGCGATCTCATATATCCATCGATCTGTGCAAAGGTCTGTGATCTTTCACGAGCTGCTATTCTTGTAACGACCTGATAAATGTGGTCGTCCTGACGAGCTGGAATGGACGGGAAAAGGGACAGACCAACCTGTTATGAATTGAATATTGGGGGATTTTAGCAAACGATCTATAATTGTGAATGAACTGCCACGTTCGTGACGACCTGGTAAATGTGGTCATAGTGGCGAGTTGATGTGACGGGAGAGGGTACATATCGGCCGTTACGATCTGAATCTTGTGGATTTTCCAAATCAACCAAATCTCTGAGGAGATACGATTGATCTCCCCGTATCTCTCTGCCTTCCCCGTCATAAATGCTGGCTCAGCATTTAAGGGGACACGGCAGCTAAAACCGGCGCACGCTATACGAAAGGGGCTTAGACGCTTGCCACGCGTGAGACGCTAACTGGCACGTCAGAGACACGCGTACGGCAATTAACACAGCAATTTCAGTTTTATTCTTTACGTAACCGTTCCCTTTTCCATTTTCATTTCATTGTTTGCTTGAAATCTTCTGAAACTCTCTGTAGCGAAACACTCCGGCTTTAAGAATAAAGCACCAGAGCACACACTACAACTTCGTATCACTTTCAGGTAAAATGGATTCCATTAGAGGATTGACAGAGCTACAAGGTAACCAGGGTAGAGAAGGAGAAGAGGGGGGGGTTATATCTGTAGAGCCTATCACGATGATAGTGCCACCGACGTTGCAGGATGTGCTGGAAACAATGACGCTTGAGAGCAGCGCCAGTTCGAGCGCTAGGGACAACGGTGGCGACCACCCTACTGCATCGTCTGGCAACTCGTCTTTTGAGGAGACACTAGCTGCGAGAAAGGGACGGGGGATATGGTGAGCAATGTCTCAGATCGGCCTGTGATTGGGGAGTGGGAAAGCAAGACAATCGCGGGCAGGTTGAGCAATTTACGAAAGGCGCCCAAGGACCTGCCCACTGGATTTAGGTTCAGGGCCGCGCTTCATCATGAAGTAGCAGACTGTGCGCCCTCAATAAGTGGGTATAGGAAATTGGAGGAGATGGTGAGGGCGCACCACATCCCCAAAATAATCTTGCTCTGAACTGATGCCAAAAGTGAGAAGGTATGCACGGTATCGCAGACGGGCTGGATACCAGTGTACGTGGATCATTTGGAGGCCGGCCTGTGATTTCCCCTACCCGGGCTGATATTCGACCTACTAGCAGACTACGAGCTAGCTCTGATGCAGCTGACGCCCAACAGCATAAGGTTCATCATAGGCTTTATACTGTTGTGTGTGAGGTTGGAGGTCTCGGCAAAGGTGATTGTGTTTAGGTCGCTGTTCCAGTGCTGGCTATGTCCCAACTCCAGAGGCGCAAAGTGGTATTACCTCTCCGGGAGAGAGAAGAGACAGCTGTTCAAGAATGTCAGGAACAAGGTGGCGAGGTGGAAAAGGCAATTCATCTTTGTTCGCGATACGCGAACAGAGAGAATTAGCAACGACCTCGTTGCTCGGCTATCTGAGTGGCGTGTGCCGAATGCACACGTCAATTACCCTCAATTGCTACCACGGGACACGGACCTTAAGAATCAGCTGTTGGAATATGCAAGGAGGGAAAACTTGATAGATCTAGAGGCCTTGGTTAGCTCGGAGCAGCTCACCGTGTTCGGGTTTGTCGACGTGGCAAACCTGTTCACAGAAGGTATACTTTTATCATATGTCTTAAATTCTAGCCGAGCTGAGTCTTATGTACTTGTTTGTGCAGGAGAAATGAGTAGTATACTGGAACGCCAGCGCTAGTGAGCCCAAGGTTCTCGAGGGTGCGCGTCGGGTAACACGCAACAAAGACAGACGCGATTTGACGAGCGGATGCCCCCAGCGCCACAATAACGCAGTTCATCCCACCGCGGCTCGAGCTCGGCGTCCAGGCCTCGTGCCAACCAGCGGGCTGAGACTGCGGCCCCCAGTGCACGCAAGCGTGCACGAGAGGAGACGGAAAGTGAGGACGAGGTCCCCCTCATCTGGCGCAGAACAAGCGGGGGGACTCAGCTCATGCAGGCGGCTCGATCTTCGTGCGCTCACCCAACGCGCCCTCAGCAACTGCACGGGCAACAGTAGAGCTCGCCTCTGCGTCGACCTCAGTGTCGACGCCCAGGATCGCGTATCCTGACGGCTTCAGCTACGTGAAGCCGGAGTGCTAGCCCGCCATGGTGCAAGGCATGCAAAGCTTTGTGCCTCCCACGGATCGTCAGCAGGCAAGAGCTTTCGTGTAGCAGCATGGCGGGCAGGTCGCACTTGCTGATGGACGTAAGTATTTGCTCTCACTTGCTTAAGTGTTTTACTTTTCCTTTCTAGAGACTTACAATTGTTGCTGTTTGGCAGGCATTCAGTTACGCTGTAGCGTTGTTCAAGAGTGAGTAGGGGGCTCGTACGTAGAACAGCGAGCTCAACGCTAACTGCAAGCAGCTGGCTGCAGAAAAAGCTAGCCTTGTGGATGATGTCAATTGTCTGCAAGGCTCGGAGATGGCCAATTGAGCTGCTGCCGCAAAGAGCCGAGCAGACGAGCTCGCGAACAGAAATAACGAGCTTAGGGAGGAGTTGGAGCGAGCTCGTGCTGAACGAGAAAGCGGGATCCAGGAGGCAAAGGAGGAGGCCGCTTGGGTTGAGGAACGGGCCAAGAAGGCTGAGGCCGAAAGGGACCGTGCGCAGAACGAGCTGAGCTCCCTAAGGCACCAGGTCGCCAAGGCCGACCGGAACCTCAATGCAGCTGAAGAGGCCCTGAACGAACTGAAGACATCTCACGGGTGCTCTGTCAGTATTGCCCGCGCTCAAGGCGTAGAGTGGCTGGTGGGGTCGGCCACGTTCCAAGACGCAGTGGCAGTGGCGTCTACTAACATGACCACGGAGATCTACAATGAGATCCGTGGTAAGGTGCTGCACCATCACCCGGACTTCCCCATCCTCGAGCTGGCATTTTTTGACGGGGAAGACATCGACGAGCAGGGTAAGAGCCTTGCTCCCCTAGCTGACACGACGGTGCGGTTGAGATGGGATCTCAACGAGGAAGGCATACCTGTCTGGCCTCCTTCAGTTCTAGAGGAGGGGGAGGATCTAGCGAGGCTGCCCTCCTTTGACGGATGGGTGGAAGGGGCCTCTGTTGCTGAGCAGGAGCCATCGAGTACTCCCCCCAACTCTCAGCCCGCCATGGTGCCAGCCACGTCGCCCGTTGACGCGCCAGCTCCCGAGCTCGCAACCAGGTCTTCCCCAGCTCGCTCTGCTGCTGCTGCTACTGATGCGTCTATGCCCGTCGACCTGACGGATGATTAGATTTAGGGTTTTTCTTTTTGATCTTTTGTATTTTTGTTTCTTTTCACAAACAATTGTATCGCAATCTGTTGTGCTGAAACGTGTAATTGTTTTTGAAAAGAAATATAAGATCGACGATTATATCAAACTGTTTTTCTTTATTGTATTGCATGTACAGTTTACATTTCCACGAACAAATTCGTTAATAACACATACATTAACTGTAAAATCTTCTAAGATTGTGTACATTCCAAATATATGACAACTGGCGTCCTTGTATGTCTGCTAACACATAAGATCCAGGTCGCTTGATTTGAATGACCATATAGGGACCTTCCTAATTAGGAGCGAGCTTACCCGTGTGCGAATAAGTGTTGGTTAATCCAGCTTTGCGTAAAACCAGGTCGCCAACCTTGAACTGACGAGCTCGTACTCTTTTATTGTAAAATTTTGCAACACGACCCTGATATGCCATATTCTTTATTCAAGACATCTCCCTAACCTCCTCTACAAGGTCTAGGTTTTCTCTTAAAAGTTTCTCATTATTAAGATCGTTGTGGCGATCTGATCTGTTAGATGGCAATCCAACCTCAACAGGGATGACGGCCTTAGCTCCATACGCCAGGCTGAATGGGGTTTCGCCTATAGCCGAGCTGGGTGTAGTGCGACATGACCAAAGCACTTTATTGAGCTCGTCAACCCAATTAGAATGCGCAACTAAAACACGCGTCTTGAGGCCTCGCAAAACAATTTTATTGGCGGATTCAGCTTGTCCGTTTGACTGTGGAGTATACACAGACGTCAAGGAGAGCTCGATGCCATAGTTGTTACAGAACGACCTCAATGCCGTGGCCCGAAACTGCAGACCGTTGTGTGCTATGATTCGCTTAGGAATACCGAACCTGTACACAGATGACCGAGCTGAGCCATTAATTGTATTTGCATATAATGCACCAATGACTTAGGTCATCAAAGAATACCTGCACAATATTGAATTGAATAAGAATTCTTCTACTTTCTTTTCTGTTGTCGTGGACAATGGTTTAGCTTTTATCCACTTGGTGAAGTAATCCACCGCGACAACGAGGTAAGTGCAACCTCCTTTGCCTTTCACAAAAGGGCCGAGCAGGTCGACTCCCCACTGAGCAAAAGGCCAAGGAGATGAGAGTGATGAGAGCATTTCTCCTGTTTCAACAAAGATACTTATGCTCAATTTATAGACAAACACAAAGTTTGCACAAACTTTAGAACGAGCTTGGATACCTGGCATGTGGATATCATCAGCATTGAACTGGCAGGTTGGGCACTTTTTGACATAACTCTATGCGTTCTCGACCATAGTGGGCCAGCAATAGCCGTGCCTCAGGAGTTTCCGAGCTAAAGTCTTACCACCAATGTGCGTGCCACATACTCCTTCATGAACTTCCCTTACAACGTATTCAGCTTCATAAGGAGTAAGGCAGCGTAATAGGGGCATTGAGACTGCTCGTTTGTAGAGCTGGTTATCTAACAAAGTGAAATGTGTCGCCTTGTGTTTAATCAACTTTGCAGTGGACGGATCTTCAGGTAGCTCTCCACTTTGCAGATAATTTATGAGCGGGGTGGTCCAGCTCGGGGAAGAGGGATCTGTGCTGAGCAGCTGGCACTCGACCGTGGAATCAGTGTAGCTCGGAGCATCAAGTACCTCCACTATTATTGACCTATGAGGGTTGGTCTCTTGCGAGGAGGCTAACTTTGACAGCTCGTCAGCCCGTTGGTTATCTGCTCTGGGTATTTTGTCAATCTGGAAGGAAGCAAATATTGACTTCAATCTGTTGACCACAGAAGCATAACAACCAAACCGGGGATCCCTAATTTCACAGCTGCCATTTACCTGGCCCACAACAAGCTGAGAGTCGCTAAAAACTTGAATGTGTTGTACCTTCAGCTCGGACGCCAGCTTCAATCCGTAAATGAAGGCTTCATATTCTGCAGCATTATTGGTTGTCTAAAACCTAAACCTCAGTGCGTATTCGGATTTGAAGCCATCCGGGCCCACTAACACAGCCCCAGCACCCGATCCTTCTACGTTAGCAGCTCCATCAACATACAAAACCCAGACTGGGTGTTCGGGTGCCTTTTGTTCCACAGTCGTCGAGGTGCACTCCACCAGGAAATCTGCCACGGCCTGGCCCTTTAAGGTTGTGCGCGGCTGAAATTTGAGGTCATACTCGCTCAGCTCGACGCTCCACTCGATAAGCCAACCAGAGAGTTCTCGCTTCTGCAGTATCTTTCTCAACGGCAGATCAGTATAAACAACAACCTGATGTGACTGAAAGTAAGCTCTCAATTTCTGAGCCGTGTATACCAGGGAAAAGGTAGCCTTTTCTGCTAGAGGGTAGTTCTGTTCGGCGCCTTGTAAAACCTTGCTCACATAGCAGATGGGCTTCTGATGCTTATTCTCTTCCCTGAGTAGGACCGAGCTCACCGCCTCTTCTGTAACCCCCAAGTACAGATATAAACTCTCCCCTTCGATAGGCTTGGACAGTAGGGGTGCTGATGCAAGATATTGTTTGAGCTCGTCAAACGCCCACTGACACTCATTGGTCCATTGAAAGTTCTTGGGCTCTCTCAAGGCTTTGAAGAACGGGAGGCATCTTTCTGCCGACCTAGCTATGAACCTATGCAGCGCAGCTACACGGCTCGTTAAACGTTGTACATCTTTTACGGTCCTGGGCGACTCCATCTGTTGAACGGCCTGAAATTTCTCTGGATTTACTTCAATTCCTTTCTTGGATACCATGTACCCCAGGAATTTTCCTGACTCTACAGCAAATGTACACTTCAAGGGGTTCAGCTTCATTTGGGCGCGGCGTAAGTTTTGAAAGGTCTCACTCAGGTCGTCTATATGATCCTCAGGTTGTCTATATGATCCTCAGCTCGCACGCTGGTGACTATCATGTCATTCACATACACTTCTATGTTTCTGCCAATCTGGAGCTTAAAAATGATTTGCACCAGCTTTTGATATGTAGCGCCAGCATTTTTTAGGCCAAACGGCATCATCACATAGCAATAGATTGCGTCACCAGCGTAGAAAGCTGTTTTCTCCTGGTCGTCCAACAGTAACTAAACCTGATGATAACCTGAGCTGGCGTCAAGGAAACTCATTTGTTCGTGCCTGGCTGCCAACTCTACTAGCTTCTCAACATTTGGCAAGGGATGAGGGTCCTTTGGACATGCATCATTGAGGTTGGTGAAATCAATACACATCCTCCACTTGCCATTTGGCTTTTTAACGAGCACGGGGTTGGATACCCACTCAGAGTACTCCATTCTCCTGATGAAGCCTGCCTGTAGCAGCTTTTGTATCTCTTCGTCTATGGCAGCTTGCTTTTCAGGGCCAAAAAGGCAACGCTTCTGAACCACCGGCTTTCTAGTGGGGTCCGGGCTGAGCTTGTGGACTGTCAACTTCGCTAGGATGCCAGGCATTTCATCTGTAGTCCACGCAAACACATCTTGATTATCCCGTAGAAACTCGAGAAGCTCTGCTCGCTCTTTTTCTGTGAGCTTGGTGCCGATCTTAACTGTTCTTTCCGGCACATCAGGGTTTAAAGGAACTGTGTCCACGGGCTCTACCGACTTTGCCTTCTGCTCGACACCCTCAGGTCGGTGCTCGATGTCTGATATACTCATTGTCTGTTGACCGGGCTAAGTCGGCTTATTACTTTCAGAGGAGCCTCTCGGGGCTACAGCGAGCTCGACCTTCTTAAATGTATCTTGATAACATGCCCTGGCCATCTTCTGATTCCCCTTTAGCACTCCTACCCCCTGAGGAGTTGGGAATTTCATGTAGAGATGGGGTTGTGAGATAACAGCCTTCAGCTCGCACAGAGTAGCCCTTCCCAATATAGCGTTAAAAGCTAACTCCATCTTGACTACCAGAAAGTTAACAGAAGCCATCCTAAAGCGCGGCTCTGAACCCACCCTAAAGCACGGCTCTGAACCCACATATATGGGAAGAGTAATAACTCCCTCAACCGGGACGGGCTGGTTATCAAACCCATATATGGGCCCTTCATACTTCTGCAGCGAGCCAGGATTCAATTGCATCTTTTGGAAACAGTTCCAGTATAAGATATCTAGCGAGCTACCAATATCAATAAACACCTTGTTGACATTATGGTTGCCTATATGAACCGTTGCCACGAAAGGATCTACATGGGGCATCATAACGTCAGGCTCTCTTTCTGCTCGCTTGTAATCTGCCGGGCTGAATGTGATAGGCATATTCTCCCATTCTGCTTCTTCAAATGAGCGCTTCAAGGGTCTGTTCTTATTAACAGTCATCACCTGGCAAGCATATGCTTTGCGACCTCGGGCGCTTTGGCCTCCAGAGTGCATACCACCTGAGATCATATTGATTATGCCTGAGGGTGGGGCGATCCCAGCATAATCCACCATTTTCCTGTCTTTTTGGTTCTGGGTGGTAGTTCTTTGTCCTTGGCCTCGCCTGTTGAATTGACGTCCCCTGTATGCCCTGCCTTGCTCAGAAGGATACTAGTTATCCTGGTATGCATCCTATGCGTTGCTAAGCTGGTACCTCTGCCCCTGAGGTCGGTCATACCCCTGTACGAAATGAGCTTGAGTGGGTTGCTGGGCGTGTAGCTTTTGAACATATCCTTCCAGTTTCCCATTGCGAGCCAAGAACTCCAGCTCGTCCTTTAAGTGTTGACAATCTTTTGTATTGTGACCGTATACACGATGGTAGTCACAATGCTTACTCTTGTCTGCCCTTGGGGAATCATGCAGTGGGGGTGGGGGTCTCCTAACCCAGTGCTGGATTTGGGCCAGGATTTGAGACCTTGGTAAGGTCAAAGGAATGTAATTGGCATACTTTGGGAAGTCAGCGGGCTTCCCCCACTGCTCGTTGACCTTTTGCTTTTTCTTTTCTTCTCTCCTCGGTGGTTGTTCCTGGCCTTTGCTCTGCTTATCGTCAGCTCATCGCTTGGACGACTGGAAGTCTTCTGACAGTATGAAGCTGGCCAACCTGTGGGTGGGTTTTCTAGCAAGTCATCTAGGAATCGACCACACTTCAAACCATGCAGTAAGGCAGACAAGCAGATGGTATCTGGGACGTTATCAATGTCTAAAGTGGCTTTGTTGAATCGTTGCATGTAGTCCCTCAGAGATTCCCTTTCTTTCTGATGAACTTGCATCAACTCGGTCACTGTGCGTTTGATCTCCCTTTGGCTCGCAAATTTGTTGGAGAATAGCTTGGCGAGCTGAGAGTAGGAGTCTATAGAATGTCTGGGGAGTTTGTGATACCATCTCCTGGCTGTTGACTTGAGTGTCGCTGGAAACACTTTGCACATCATGGCATCATTGGCATTTTGGATTCTCATGATGGCTTGATAGGTGTGCAGATGTTCATCAGGGTCGCTTGAGCCATCATACGTCTCCAGGTGGGGAATTTTGAATCCCTCTTGATACGGTTCTGCTGTGATGGATAGGTTTAGTGGAGCACTATCCAAATCTAGGGTCTGTTGGTGCGACCTGAGACTTTTCAGCTTGTCAATAGATTTTTGTACGTCTCGCAGCTGTCTTTCAAGGTTTGCGTTCTTTCTCATCAGTTCTTCACTATGTTTGGACAAGCTGGGCTCGATATTTAGCTTCCCACTTCCCTTTGGCCTGGTCGGCACTACTATGTTGCTTAGAGTGGGAGAGTTTCAAGTTGCAACAACAGCAGCTAGTTGTGCATCCCTGTTCAACAAAGGAATCAGGGGCTCATCAGGAATCAGACGGGCAAGGATTTTACCCATTGCCATTTCGAGAACTCTGGTTCTCTCTTCGAGCTCGGTTGTTCGAGCAGGCTCTGTTGACCTTTCAGGTCATTCCTGTTGTAGATTGCTTTGCCTAGGTTGTCTTTGTCTTGTTCCTGTTGGGACTTGGAAGTGTTCGGGCTGAGTTGCATACCCAGTTGGTATTCTTTCATCATCATCTGTTCCACTTAATTGATCCTGTTCTACTCCTCCAACGAAAAGGTTTCTTGGCATTGTCCTATAATTATTCAAACCGGGCTCAGACAGTTGAGTGTCCTCCTGTTCGTCCATTTCATCTCTTGGAGGGCGGATTCCAATAAAGGTACAGACCATTTTGTCTTTTTGCAGGTTAAACTACACAGCTTCTTGTTCGGTTTCCCACAGACGGCGCCAAATGTTTGGGCAGCTTTGCAATCCAACACTGTTGAAGTCCTCAGCTGCTTCTACACCTGTAAATCCCAAGGATGTTTCCTCGGGAAAAACACTCCGACGCTCAAGTCAACAATACTCGATATTCTAGAGAGAGATGCTCTCAAGGAGTAATTGCAGAGAGAGAAGCGTAAAGATTTATTTTACCTTCATCGGGGGTAGTTGGAGGGTATTTATAGCCCCCTGGTGCTGACATGTATCTGTACGTGTAAGCATCCCATTGGCCCACATGGTGCTGGTCACGTGGGTATGTTTGTACTAGTGCTCCCCCAACTTGGACCAGTGGGCGGTAGCCTAGGCCCATTATGCACAGCTCTGTTTGGATGTTGGGCCTATGTTGGGCCTATTCCAACAGTAGCAAGTCTTGGTGACCTTCGAACAGTAGGCAAGTTATCAGGAACTCTTGTAGGGTCGTTGGCGGCAGCCCTTACAGCAAGTCTTGGCGACCTTTGAACAAGAAGCAAATTATCAGAAACTCTTGGAGGAGGGGCCTCCGCCGCAATTGGTTGGGAAGCCCTCTAGTGGATCGCCAACTTCCGATAGCCCCCTGCTTGCATTGCAAGGAGTGTTTCCGCCGCTTCTTGAACATCTTGATCGGGATGATCAACCTTCATTTCCTATTTGGTGGTCGGACTTTGGAATGCCTCATTGAGAGCATTTTACCATTTATAAAAAGAAAATGATGTGTGCACACCCGGATTCAACACCCAAGTGTGCACACTCCGCATAAAAACAAAAAAATGGAGAATACTCGATCTTTTTTTTTTTTTTTATGTGAGAGGTGCACATCCGGATGTTGAATCCGGGTGTGCACCAATCATGATCCTTTATAAAAACACTTTCCCTTTTTCTCACTTTTCACTTCACATTTGGTTGGTCGTCGCCTCCATTACACATGTCCAAGTCGCTGTCGCAGATTGTTGTCTCCAGAAATGGATTATGCATATAATATTTTTTAATTTTAAAAAATAAATATATAATTTTTTTTGAACATTTTATAATAAGATCGAGTCGAACAGTTACCTTCAAAGAAAAGAGAAATGAACCTTATAATAATGACTAAAATCACTTGGTCCATAAGGTCAAATTTAATAAATATATAAATTTATTTTAATTAAAATAAAAAATTTTCACTTTTTCACTTCACATTTGTTTGGTCGTCGCCTCCAATACACAAAACCAAGTCGCTGTCGCAGATGGTCTCCAGTAATGGATT